TTTTCAATACTCCCTCCTCCCAAAAATCCTCTTTTTAATCTTGGGTACCATCCACAATTTTGGTGAGACTGTCCATTGTCTACCATGTGCTATGCTGGGTCAGCAGATGGGGGTACATACAGTCCAAATTAATGGTCTTTCTACTCAAAGGAACTTCATTGGAGGGAACCCGCATATAGATAAAGAATATGAAAAAAACAACAACAAGGAAATTGCCACTGTAAGATGTTTGAACAGAAAGATATACCCATGCCCTCGTGGTGCTCATCACCAGAAAAAAAGGAGGGGCTCTTCTTCCAGTACTGACAATTCCCATCTAGGCCGTGCCTTATCCCATGCAGCCCTTCAGTACCCTCAGTGTCTGTTTCTTTCTGGGAAACTCACATTTGAGAACAAAATCAATAGTTTAGGATTTGTGCTACTGGTCACAAAAGGTACAAATGATGAGTCTATAGTAGAGTTTTCCAGTTGGCCTGGAGTTTGTGTGTCATCTCTTTCTGTTATTGATCCTGAAGGACTAACAGTGCTTTGTTGACTCTAAGTGGATATTTGTAAATAGCCAGAAAAAATAGAGATTCACACATAGCCACGTCTGTTTGTTAACACTATGAAATTTCACCTATAACCTGAATAGGCATCTGGCTGTGGTACCACGGCACTGGTGCCGTTGAGAAACACACCTGTTATGCACGTATCAATGTCTTGCTCATTGTTGACCCATCTCGCTCATCTCCACATCCTGGCAGTCGTCCAGTTCTGTTCAGTCTTCCTCCTCAATTTACACATAAAACCTTCAGTTGGATTTTTCTTAAAATGAAATTCTAATCATAGTTAGAAATATACAGCCATTTAATCCAACTTCTCTTCTGACCCATTACATTTAATGATTCATTCACTTTACTCAGCAAGGATTTATTGTGTACTTACTCTGTGTCAGGCTAGGTGCCAGAAATTTAGGGGTGACAAAGCAGGCCACTGGGTTTGTATCTACCGAAGCACACGTTAGCAGAGAAACCCGTAAACGTGTAAAAGTGCAATTCTGACAAGTTATGTGGGGGAAAGTTTATGGAACTATGCTGGGGGACTTAACCCTAGTCAGAAAGGTCCTGGAAGACTTATCTGAGGAAGTGACACATGAGCTGACGGTCTTCAGGAGGAAAAGAGTCTTCTAGCCATAGGCACCAGCATGTGCAAATGCTCTGGTAGGCAGGAGGAACTGAGGCCGCCAGTCTACTGGGAGAGAAAGTGAGGGGTGTGAGGGATGAAATGAAGGCAGAGCATGCAGATCTTTGCAGCTGACTTTAAGGGCTTTTTTTAAAATCCTAAGAGCAGCAGGGAAGCCATTGAAAAGTTTTAAGTAAGGAAAGTGAATGGCCCAATCAGATTTATGTTTGAGGGAGACCACTCTGGCTGTATTTTGGAGAAGGCATGGGACGGGCCAGAGTAGATACAGTAGATCACTTGAGAGGCTTGGAAATCCTCCAGGAGAGGGATGATGGTCGCTTGGATTGCATTGCTGGTGGGGAAGGTGGAGAGAAGTAGGCATGGATTGGATATGGAGAGGATGGAGGTGTCCAGGGTGACACCTAGGTTCTAGCTTTTCAAACTGGATGGATTTGGTGCTACTCATTAGACCAAGCTTTCAGTTTGAGGTGCCTTTGAGACATTGAAGAGGCCCTGGGCAAGAAGGCCACTGCATACAGGAATGGAATTCAGAGGAGAGCATGGGCTACAGATAGAAATTAGGGAGGCATCTGATATCTGAATCTGCCTTACAATATCCAGATTAGCTTTCCAGACTTCTGCTTGAACACCTTCAAAGTGACAGAAAAGTCACTGCTTGAATCCTACTCATTCATTCTGATTCTGCCATTTGGACAAGTGGAATCTATCTTCTACCTAATAGGGCTTCAGGAATTTGAAGAAAATTGGAATAGTTTATCTTCTCACCTAGCCATCCACCTCAGATCTTCTGTCCAGCAAAACCTCTCAGATCAATTCAGCAACCTAGGCCGTGCCCATCTCTTCAGCATCATCTATTTATTACAAACAAAAACAGACCCCAAGCATCCATATGCCCACACATATTGCCTCCATTCAGATCTAAATATGTGTAGCTTCCTAAGTATGGTACATTATCACAAGCTTATGCCTTTTCTCCTGCTATTGCATGGAAAAGTAGTTTTTAATTCCACCACATGTAAAATTGCAGCTCCATAGTACAAATTACTGAGACCAGCTAGCTAACTAGAGGAATGTTTTCAGGGGAGTAGGTCAGACAGAAAGTGGCCAGTAGCTCTTTTATTCTTCTTTTTCTGTTCTCTTGCCACTCAGTCTATTGTATTGTTACAGCAGCCTGAGCTAAGGGGGTCATCTACAGATGGTTTCTGTTTTATTCTGATGCTTGCTAGAAGGCTATGCTGTAAGCTACAGGCCAGAGTTGGTGCATTCAGGGACAACCTCAGAGACTCACGGAAAGGATCAGCTGTTTTTGTTATCTGTAGGGAGCTCTCCTCGTCCCCACTGGTCGCTGGTGGGAGTGGACTTCTTGTGATGTCATGAGAAAAGGAATTTTCTGAGACTCACACTGGAAGAGGACATAGTGTAGAAAGCTTTATTTCTATGGAATTAAACTCCTGAATTTCCAAGGTTCCATTTCCCTCCCTTGGATTTCATTGCTGGTGGAGAAGGTGGAGAGAAGTAGACATGGATTGGATATGGAGAGGTTGGAGGTGTCAAGGATGACACCTCTATTCTGTCTTTTTAAACTGAATGGATTTTGGTACCATTCCATTAGACCAAGTTTTCAGTTTGAGGAGTCTCTGAGACATTGAAGAGGCCCTGGTCAGGAAGGCCACTTCCCTCTGTCCTGCTCAGAAAAAAGTTCCATTTTGCTTTCAGCAAAGCTAAGATTAAAGCCGTTGCCCAGAATTTCCATTCCATATCTGCACAGTCTAATCCAGAATCAGGCTATCTTAGCTTGTGCTCCCCCCTGCATTCCATCAGTCCATTGCATGTGGGGTCCACATGACCATGGGCCTTGCAGCTTCTAGGAACACGGGGGAATGCAAGAGAGCCATAAGAGCCAAGAGCCAGAGTGAGTGAACTCCTTTGTCTGGGGATTATGTATTTCCAAAGTTTTGTGGGCTTATAGTGGCCTCACCCCCTCTGGCCAATTATTTCTGTTTCAGGATAGACTGACAGGTACCTTCCCTATGTCATCCCGACTTTTTTGTGCATGCTCCCATCTCCCCTTTGTCCAGTCCTTTCCCCCAGTGATCTGCAGAAGGAATGGGTCAATGGTTCCCTGGGGAGTGTAAAGTTGCAGCCTCCTGGTGAAGATCCCCAGATAGCCATTCTTATAATGTTTGGCCTTCCCTTTGCTCCTTTTCTATTATTAATACCTAGTTAATTACAGTGGTAATATCTTGAACTATTGATAGATACTTCAGTGAAGCCTCTTGGGTACAGACTCCCAAGTTGACATAGCTTAGACAAATTTCACACACCAGTGGACTAATTCAGGGTTTCTAGGGCCCTTTAGTCTGAAAACAGATGACTTCTTGCAAGCAGTTCACTGACCAGAAGAACAATTACAGAGAACTGAGTGAACCGATGAGGGAAATTTAACGATGGTTGCTTGTTTGGAAATACTGTTTATGCAGTTGTAATGTTCTATTTTTATTGATATGTGAGGAAGCTCTTTTTATTTAGTTATGTATTTATTTTTTGGCCAGTAGTTCTTAATGTCCAGGACTGTAGGACAAATGTGGACTCACTCAGGACCAGCGGCATAATATTCAAGTTGGCCCTGTCTCACAAGTGGGCACAGCTGAAGGTTTTCTAGGTTGAGTTAAGGACCATCACCCTCACCTGCTTTATTAGTCAGAGGAGGCTAACTACAGTCACAAAGAACCCCATCGCTCTGGTCTAATCAAGGGTTCCTTAGGCAGCCTTCTATAGGGTCATTCAGAGACCCAGGCTCCTTTCATCTAGTGGCTCCTCTGGGGCCTTAAAGCCTTTCACTGAGTCTTCTGCATCTTGTCAAGAGGTGAGGGGAGAGAGAGCACAGGGGACTATGGCAGGAGGTTTTAGGGGCCAGGAATTGGTTTACACTTCTCACATTCCCTTAACCACAACTCAGTCGCTTGGTTCATGGAACTGCAGGGAAGGCTCAGAAATGTAATTTAGCTGTGTGCCCAAAAGGAAAAGGCAGCCGGGTTTGGCGAGCACACCTGCCTAATCCTGGAGGTGATACCAGTTGACTCTCTTTCTCCCCCAAAACTCCAGTAATTCCCTATTGCCTACCAAGTTAGAATTGCCCCTTAGCATTTTAAGACTCTTTGCAATGCGACCCTAGTCTGTTTTTCCAGCTAAATTGGTAATTTCTTTCTTCCCCAAGCATACCCTACCCTTTTGCTCTTCCATGCCTTATTCAGGCACTTTCACCTGCTAAAGACACCCTACATCTCTTATTTCTGAACTCTTATCAGTCATTCAAGGTCCATTCAAGAGGTCACTTATGCTTCATTCCCACTGGTCTGCCCTATGTTATAGTTACATTTACCTGTACTATCACCTCCCTTCAGACTCCCTGAGGGCAAGCAATATGTCTTATCTATTTTGTGTCACTGACAACCTCTAGGAAATGCCTGAGAGAGTGTTCAAGCAAATACTTGTTCAGTTGAGGCTGAATAGTTTTATTTCAGTTATTCCCTTAAAGAAAAAATAAGATGTATTTTTTAGTAGTTTTCCTTTTTTTTTTTTCTTTGAAGAAGAATATGTGTGGTAGTAGTTCTCAAATGATTATGGTACTTCAGCAAATTATAGATAAATTACAGAAAATTATAGATTTCTGTCCACCCTCCACCCCTTAGCACCCAAGATTCTAATTATACAGATCTGATAGACCATCTGATATTGGGCCCCAGTATCTGCATTTTTAGTAAGTGCCATTACACCCATTAATGAGCTATTATTGCCTTCTTTTAACAAAACAGATCAGTTCCTTAACAGAGGAACAGGCAGTGTGCGGAACAGTAAAAATCAAGATGTTTGTCATATCGCCTTTGGATCCAAGGTTCTTGGGCCACCTCCGCTCTCTGGTAGAAGAAATAACATGAGGACATCGAGTGAGGTAGGAGCGAGGTTTAAGAGCTCATCGACACNGGTTCTTGGGCCACCTCCGCTCTCTGGTAGAAGAAATAACATGAGGACATCGAGTGAGGTAGGAGCAAGGTTTAAGAGCTCATCGACACGTGAGTGGCACGGGAGGGGAAGGGTTTCTCCCACCGCTGGCTGGAGGGGGAGGGNTAAGAGCTCATCGACACGTGAGTGGCACGGGAGGGGAAGGGTTTCTCCCACCGCTGGCTGGAGGGGTGGAGGGGAGAGGCGGGCTTGAGAGACTTCATGCCAAAAGCAGAAGGCTTGAATAAGTTTTGAACAGAAATTCTGGACTTTCTAAAACCTCAAAACCGTTTTCTTTTTGTCATGTCTACACAACATTTTTGAGTATTCTTTTCATTAAATATGTTCGCAAAACTTAAAGGTAAATATATGTGAGCACACTTGGTGGTCTCCTTCAAGGAGGAGTTGGGTCATCACCAGACACCTACAATGAACAGGTTTTCAAATGTTATGTTTTTACTTTTAATTTCCCGTAAATTTCTGACATACACAGTGATTTTCGGTGCAACTCCTACCCACTAAAGGTGGAGTGGAGCAAATAAGTGCATTTTAATTTATATGTCTAAGAGACCTGTCTTCTGTTTTATCTCATATTATTTTTCTCCTTTCTAATTTTCCATCATCATTTCCCTCGCCAACAACATTTAATCTGCTCGTTTCCTCTAGTTTTTCCTCACTCTTTGTCTAAATATTTCTTCTATGTAGATCCTAGGAATAAGTGCAGTTCCTGTATTTTAAAATGTGCAGATTAATTCCTTTTCCTTATAGACAGTAAGATCCGTTGGGTCCAAAAATAACCGATCGTGCCAGCTGTCCAGAGTAGAGAGGGGCGTTAACAATGCAGAAGTGTCAGCTGTGCTGGTATCTGAGTCTGAGGAGCAAGGAGATAAAGAAAATATTCGCCAAATAAAGCTGACTGTACCTCTTCGTGGTAAGAATGAATCATGCATAACAATTGGTAGCTACTGAAAATAGTGACAAATGTCCTTGTTAAGATAAATCTGAAGTTATATTTATGACTAGATCTTAAGTCCAGACAATTGCCACTTAAAAATGAAAGGTATAATAGATATTGAAATATGTTTAGAATTCTTATATGCATAATATTCTACAATCGAGCATTCTATTTATTCTGTTATTTCTAATTCCTATAGTACCCTGTGTTTTTACTTTATGATGACTGATAAGGAAATAATATGGCATCCTTTTTTCACTATATTTTGGGAGCTTCATGTGCATTTTAAGTTTTTTTAACTTAATTTTATCTTTTAATCAGTCTGTCCCATTTGTAAAGTTTATCTTCTCTCATTGATACTAAAACAACCCGTCGTCTCATTTTATAGATTGGGAGTTCAGGGTTAACAGAGAGGTAAAGTGATTTGCAGTCTATAATCATTAGAAAGAATTGAGACCATAACCCACTTCCTGACAGTTTTTCCGCCCCTACCTGTCTAACTTTTGTTAGAGTCGACATGGAGGCATTTGGGTTCATTTTATTTGATTTAGAAATTAATGAGCCCAGTTACAAACTGTATCTCCCATGGAGTATAAAACTGAGTAAGGAAATGAATAACATAGATATTCAGTCCTGGCCCTGCCACTGTCTGTGAGGCCTTGATGAAGTTTCTTAAACCCTGTAAGCCTCGGTTTCCTCATCTGTAAAATGGGGATACAGTTACTACTGGTGCCAGTAGCAGTGGTCAACAACAGCTGCTTCATGGGTCATTGTGAGGCTTCAATGAGAAAAAAATCAGTCAAGCACATCATACTGTGCCAAGAAATTAAGCATTTGGTAAATATTAAATGCTGCTATGAATATTACTATTACAGAATTAAATTACACTTAAGAATTCTTTAGGTTTGATATCAAACCTCTTTGGGTCTTCCAGAGTTCTTTTGGAAACTACCCTCTAAGTTCTCACTGCATTGTGCTTAACGATACCTCCTCTTCTAAAGGAAGCAATAATTTTTCAGTATTAGCTGTCAGTTTCATTTTTCATATTTTTAATATAGCATGTGGCATGATTAACATTAATCAGATTGCTCTTAGCCCTCTATAAGGTTATATTACATGAATAAAATGTATTAGTAATTTTGAAAGCCTGATACAATCCTAATATTAGCAGAGGAATAAACACCTATTTTCTGGGAAGGAGTAAGTTTTGGTACAGCTTTACATAATGTTGAAATGGTACATGGGCAGTCTCATTATAGCTATAATTATATTTTCTGAGTTATTTCAAACCATACAGTGCTTTCTGATCTGGCTTTTTGTTCTTTGATACGAAAATGTTCCAGCTGATCTGCATATTATGCACCCACATCCCCCTCAAGAACCATCAGCGGATAAGAATAATAACAGGAGAAGATTGCGGTTAAAAAGCACCAGCAGAGAACGGACAGAGACCCCCAGCGGTATGGTCTGATTCGCTGCTATCTTATATCTGTGTGTGATTCAGAGCAATGGAACCTCTCCCTGCAGGTTGTAAATTTCAAAGGATTACGAACCAATTCATTTAAAATATAAATGTCTGCCCTACAGGGATTGTGGAAATCAAATTTTCTGCAAAAGAATTGCTCTAGAGCCCTAACAGAGATTTGCTGGATTAAATAGACAGCACCACAGAAATAAAGGACTTTCTGCTTGTACTCTCAAAGGCTGAATACGTTTAAGTTATTATTTTTTCAAATATGGGCTGCCTGTAGACTTTACTAAAATTTAACTTAACCCATAATTTTTCATGTTTCATTTATGTCTCTTTTTCTACATTGAGCCCTTTTCAGATTGTTTTTGCATTTGCTGTCTCTCCCTTTGAACTCCTTGCCATCTGATATCATGCAGGTTGAAATTTCAACTCTGCAAGCAGTAATATAGGTGGCTGTTATAGGTATCCGTTTAAATAATGGATCTGGGGCATGTATGTGTAGATTTGTATACACATGCATTAGTCTATCCTAAATCAAGCCCAGAATGTATCATATACACATCTGTTAGCATAATTTCTCAAAAATGTAGGGTTCTGAGTAGGCCACAGTTCAGCTTGCCAGGTTTCATATCATTTTTATAAAACAGTAGATAGAAACATTAATTCTGCAGTAATTAGTGCCTGGCCTGTTTTCTTAAGATGCTGAAGGAAAAAGCTTGGTTTAAAAGAGTCCAATAAGAATCGTAATTTAAAGAAAACACTCCATTTTATGTGGAACCAAAGGGAAAAATATAAGACCCTTTAAAAATTATATGGGTTTTAGAATTCCTCTTATCACATATTGTAAAACTTAAATCTAAAATGTCCCCATGCATATATTCAGGAATTATATTTTGAGCCTCTACAAAAATGCAGCTGAGTTCATCTTGATACTTTCTACTGAAAAAAAGGTCTGCATATAATCTAATGTCACCTCTAACTTGCTTTACAATAATATATAGAAAAGTATACCAAATTAACACCATTCCTCAAAAATTCATGTTTATGAATATCAAAAAAGTAATATAACGGAAAATGTTTATTGTAATAAAGGTAGCTCTTCAGGAAATGACAGGAGTGAAGATCCGGCAGCCACTCTCACCGCTGCGTCCCAACGAAGAGCAGCCGCACCGCAGCTCCGCGCCCCGGCACCCGGGTCCTGTGATGAAGCAGGTCTGCGCCTTTATTATGCCTCAACGGTCCATAATTAATAAGATCTGCATGTGGGAAATAGTTCAGACCCAGTGACTTTGAAAAGCCGTGATGCAGCCATTTGCTAAAATCTATCTGCTTTTGTAAATCTCCTTTTAACCTCAATTTCATGTCAGACTTTAGTGGATGAAAGAGCATTTTTATTTTCAAGTTTTAATGCACTGGTTGCCCTGTCGCGAACACAAGTTTAAAATATTGAAGTTTTCACATGACATTGTCCCCTCCCCATGCTGATCGCATGCTGCATGTCTTCAGTCCTCCTCACAATGGCGATGCAGCATCCTAGAGCATGGAGCTCGTCAACGTATCTTGCCGAGCAGGCACGCAGTACTTTCACGGAGGCAGATTGTTTCTTGGGGTTTTTTTTTTTGCAAATTGTTGTCGAGCAAGGGAAAAAGGAAAATAAATTATCATTGTTTGTAGTTTGTCAGTCTTATTTATGCAATGTTGAAACCTTCATTAAAATGTTAGGTGCAATTAGTGTCTCTAGCATAAATCTGACTGTGTAGAAAAACTAATTAGATGTTTAGGTGATCATTCTCGCATTTATCTTGTTTGCTGCAATATTGTGATTACACAGTAATTTACATATTTTCCTAAGAAAACACACCAAATTATTCATTACAATTGATATGGAAATATTTGAGGTAAAACTGCAAATTCCAAAAACACGTGTGGAAGTGAGATAATTAGAGTTTGTTTGGGGCGAAAACAGTCCTTTTACCTTGACTTTTTGACAGTTAGTAATATGTTTGGCAGTAGGTCAGACAAGTTGTTTAATTGCATAATGAAGATTCCGTTATCTTTTCCGCTACTGTTTTTTTTTACATATCCATGAATGTGATGCAACACATTGGTTTTTGTAATTTTTTTCAACCTTTATTAAAGCATTTACTTTGTTTACAAAGCACCTGCTATGTGGTTAGCACCATGCAAAGGGGTTTGCTGTCAAAAGAGGACAGCCCAGTGACTCTGTTCATTTCATCTGCCCACGGCGACACTGACTCAGGTCCCTCCACATCCCCACGAGGGTGGCCAGGTGAAAGCACGTTCAGCCTGCCTTTGGCCACTTACTTAGACTCTGTTCCTGAAAACGTCTTGTCCCTAATAGAGTTTCTCTAAGAAAGGTGCATTCATTGCATATAGGCAAGTTCTGTTATGCAATGGTAGCCTTAGACCAAGAAACAGATGAGCACAATGGTGATGAATACAATTTTATTTGTGTCATCAGTGTTATTTCTATTAAAGGTCTTTTTGTTTGTTGCTTGTGCTTTTGCAGCATAGGCTTTAAAGTTTCAAGTTAGCAAATCTTACATACCTCTTGGATACTTTCCTTGTGGTGATAAATATAATAGGATTAAGAGTTGGGGGTAAAATAACCATGTCCACACAGATTTTAGTAAGATTTTCACCATTGACATCGTGCAGCAAAAAAGTAAGTTCCAAGAAAAATAGACTAATAAGTTAGAGAAAATGCTCAACTCTTTTCTGCTGTCATGCTGAACAAAGTAAGCATGCTTTTAATGATGTCATTATACAGATTTGTCATTTCCAGCTTGCCTGGATCTTAGTTTTAAAATCTGTGTCAGCCCGGCCGGGCGTGACTCAGCTGTTGAGCATCAACCTAGGATCCAGAAGATCGAGGTTCGATTCCCGGTCAGGGCACATGCCCGGGTTGCGGGCTCGATCCTAAGCAGGGGGCGAGCAGGAGGCAGCCGATCAATGACTCTCATCATTGACGTTTCTCTCTCTTCCTCTCCCTTCCTCTCTCTGAAATCAATAAAAATATATTTTAAAAAGAAAAATCTATCTCAGTGTTGAATAAAAGATTATAATTTTTTAAAGTTTTGATTAAAATGTTTCTAAGTGGTAGTATATAGTATTTTAAAATGTTTTTATTGACTTTAGAGAGAGAGGAAGGGAGAGGGAGAGATAGAAACATGGATCGGCTGCCCCCTGCACGTCCTCTGCTGGGGATGGAGCCAAGACCCAGGCATGTGCCCTGACGGTGAATCGAACCAGTGACATGCTCATGCATGGGTCAACACTCAACCACTGCACCACACGGGCCAGGCTAGTATAAAGTATTTTTAAAGAAAATAAATAATGGTGTGCAAAAAAAAATTCCTATCAAAACATTCTCTCCTAAAATTAAACATAAAGGTCTTTTTCACCAGCAGAATTTACCAGTCACATTAACAAGTATTTCTGTGGATTTACTATTACTTGAAAAGTCTACTCAGTTTAGTCTGTGAATTTTCCTGTTTTAATCGGTTGAATGGAGAGAAAAGGCTGTCACCCTTTTCATGGTTCCCTGTCCTCCGGGATTTATAATCCAGACAATGCCCAGATACTTTGTTTAAAGAGGCTTGTTAAGCACTCTGTCCTTCTGCAGTTAAAAGAAGATATTAGTAAGTCAGCCATTTAAATTTGGAAGATTTTCCCCCTCTGGAATGTCAAATTAATGAAGCTGTGCTATAAAGAACTTGCTGCAAGACAGGTGGTAATTATTTCAGACATAGATTTCTTGGCCAGGTTTGAGCTCAGATGGTGAGGGAAGTGCATGTGAGGTGCCCGGAGCTTTAGGCCTGATCGATGGGTTAAATGTTTGTCAGCTTACAAGGTGGTGGGTAAATTGCCATCCTTGGCTTTGCGCTATTTAATAAATCTGTTTCAACAACAAGAAATGTTAACCTGACTGCCTGCCTGGAATAACACTTACAGAACACTACTCTGATTTTTGTCATCTCTTCCAAATGTCAGATGAATGGGTATTTCCCGAAAGCGATGGTCACATTCCCCTGGATGATGACTCGGGCCACGCTTCCCACCTGTGGCTGGAGGCCCTCGAGGGCAGTGGGCATGACCAGCAGGCACAGGAGGCCCAGATTGCTCCAAAGGACATCTTCACATTTTCGTCAAGACCACGATCAGCACCTCACGGAAAGACTCAGAATATGTCCCCAGAGGGGTGCCCATTTACTTGGGATCTAAAAGAGGATTCCAGCGTGACCCACCTGGAAGAAGACTTTTATGGCGGAGACAGCAGCGAAGAGGTACCTGCTTGATGAGTGAAATAGTTTCAAAGCACAGTTGTTCCATCACCTCTAATAAGCACTAAAACTAGTTTAAATGAAAGAGGGGAAACCAACTGCTATTTATAAAAATGCAGCAGATTGCAATGTCAGTCCACAGTTGCCTCAGGTTGTTATGGTAACTCTAAATTGTCCCCCCTTTTTTATTAACGGCCAATTTCATTTTTAATTATAGAAACCAGTTTTGGGTTTGTTTTTGTCTTTTTATTTTAAGCGTTGTTTCATAGAATGAGAAATAATATGCGGTTTAGTTTTATGATAGCAAAACCAGTAAAACATTGAGAACACATTGTTCTAGATCTCTGGGGAAATGGTGTTGCAGTTGCTAAGCATTCTGAATTGACAGTTTTCTGGCTTCCTTACTCCCCTGCCATCCTTTCACCTTAGACCTATTAGGACTCATTATTTTCCATATGGTCCCAGAATTTCAAGAGTTGTGCCAATTAAAGTTTAGATAATGAATCATGGATTAGTTCTGGGACTTGCCTTGCAGGAGGTTTTTGTTTGCAGTTATTTAGAATATAAATATATCTTATAAATTAGTAAATTCATAAAAAGTTTTTTAAAAGCTTATTAAAAACCAAACTGAATATAGTTCTGAAACATTTATTTAATAAGTGAACATTGTGATAACTCTTTCTTCCCTATATGAAATGAATTTATTTGTGAAATTTCTTTAGCTTTATTCTTAAATGATAGACAATATTTTCTAGAAAAAATACTTAAAAAGCAGATTACAGTCAAGTTTTGGTCTAGTAGAATTATACAAATCATTTCTATGCAGAAATTATAGACATTAATAATTAGAAAAACTTGTGTATGCTTACAAAACTTTGTTTCAATAATTATAAGTGATCAAGAATCCCCCTTTGGCCAGTGGGATGTAGATTAAATCCATAGCTTCTACCTTCAGAGCCAGTTGAGAATATGGGGAGATTGTTCAGGCAGTAATTATGGTTTTTTTCAACTTTTAATGAGTTTCTGTAGCCAAGTGCATGGGGAGATCATTTTTTTATAATACCCTTGCTTCTGATTGTGATGAAGCTATCAGTCATACCAAACATTAACCTACTACAAACTCCTTTATGCTTAAAATAGTACATTTGATGCCAGACTTTTCAGTGTTGCTATGGACATCTTTGTTTCACCCTAAATAACCATAAGCTATAAAACTGTAAAATGGACATTTGTCTTCAGCATCTAGTATTGTCCCCCTTCCAGTGGTCAATTCTTCTACATTATTAATTGGATAATCTGATAAATTAATTCATACCATTTCATTAATTGGATAGACCTATCCTCTTCCCATGTCCACAGCACCATCTTTCTTACCTCACCCAAGAGAATCACTGTGATGTGGAAATTTCATGACAGGTAAGAAAAGGCAGTGCTCTGGAAAACTTTGAGATAAGTGTTATGGGGAAACTGCCTTTTCAGTAACAAAAGGTGAGGATAAGCCTTGAGAAGAAGCCATAGAGCTTCATGGGAATATGAAGAATATTAGTTCTGAATATTTAAATATTATTACTTTATGACTTTATTTTTCTACCAGCTACTCTACTTCTGGCATCCTTCAACATTTATTATGCACACATGTACTTATTACCAACTACATAAAAATGAAAATAAATTTATCATGCATTACCCAAGCTCTGACTGGTCACCCCTGTGCCATGACCATCAGAATGACCAGAAGCATGTGGCTAGAGCCTGTAGTGGGACCGTCTCATTGCTAACACCTGCCCTGGCCTACTTTTATTTGGAGCCTGTTAAATATGACAGTCAGAGAGAGGCAGAAGCCTCGCCATATTATGCAAGCTCTGAGGTTTGCTGTTAGAGGCAATAACAAGATAAAAACTAAAATACAAAAATATGACCCACAAAAATGCCAGGCCATGTTTAAACAAGTTCTAGAATTTGTAATGATCCCTTCTTTATCAGATTGGTTCATGGGGGG